TTCTAGGGCTGAGGCTCCTCCCAGCCCATGCTTCTGCACTGCAGCCCCCATTTCTAAATGCAGCTCAGCTATGTTTCTTATTTAGCGGATGTCCTCTCTCTGCAGAGCCACAAGGTGCATAGAGATGGAGCCTGAGATAAAAGACACTTGAGGCACACAAGTAAACCATCTCAGGAAAAAGGATGAAAGAAGAGTCAAGAAACCCAAGGCCTGGAGTCTAAAAACATTGCCCACTCTAAACCACCTGGGGCCCCATATAGCCTACTGAGTGCCTATTATCTATTATTGATAGGGTAAGAAATGGAATTTCCCAGCATCCTCCACACACACATGCTACATGCATTTCTTTGGCAGGACTGGGAGAGCAGGGGACAGGTGCTCAAATGCTGAGAGTCTTCCGAGGGCACCAACTTTCCTTTCAGCCATAACAACACCCTGTGGCCTCTAAGGAAAAGGGTTCTTCTAGAAGAAAAAGACCTCACTGAAACAAAGCAACACTGTATAATGGAAACCTAACTGAATCAAGCTTCTGGTGAGTGGATTCAAAGGCTGAAATTAATCTCATGTAGACAACAGATGCAGGTATCCTTAGAGGAAAGGGACTCTTACAGGGAAGGATTTGAGGACCCAGAAACACATGTGCTGATGTGTTATTTCCTGTCAATTTAGTAGAGGTAACATTTGCCAAAGGAGGAGAGGGGAATGGTGGATTGTTTTTAATGTCCAAGATCACTCTCTAAACATTTCAGTTGGCCATTAGCACAGATCTTCAACTTGTTTGGAAATTGGGCTATCACCTGGAGAACCAGATTAAATATTTGCAGAGACATAAGACAGAAATGTATTGATCAATAGCAAACTTAATTACATCATGTGGAAGTAATGAGAAATCAAACCACAAACACAACTGGGTACTAAGAAAGAATAGGAGGGAGGACAAGAAAACACAGCAGGTGGGCATACAGGTGGGCATGCAGGTGGGCGGGCAGGGAGGGGGGCGGGCAGGTGGGCAGGCAGGTGGGCGAGCAGGGAGGTGGGCAAGCGGGCGGGCACACTGAAGTGGCTGGCCAAGGGTAGGCTTGCTTCACACCTGACTCATCACTGATTCACTGGTTTGTCTCTGGCCACTGCCTGTTGGCAGCCAGACATCAGTGGCCCCACAGTACGAGAAGTCCTCAGGGTGAAAAGCATTAAACTGGGACGACACTGGAAGCCAGCGTTGGTTTTGTTCTGAAATTTGCCAGAATGCCACTTCTCAGTTCGGGCCCCCTGCAGGCAGAGGATCAGGGGCCCCACTGCACTCCTGAGGACCCACAGTTCCTGCTAGAATCCTTTTCTGCATTTACACAGGCACAGGCACTGAGTTACTATCTGTGCAATGTAGGCAACTGCCTTCCAGTCTTTGGAACTGGAGAATACAGTCTCTAAGTCATTCCTCCAGAAAGGCTTTGGGGACCTGACATTATACCAGCCATATGTCCTGAGGAAGCAACTCTGATGTCCTGCTATGACTGGAGTGGTCACTGTGAGACAGCAAACTGTTTCTGTCTGGTTCTTGTGCCTACCAGGCTGGAAGAGAGCACATGAATGTGCATCCATGCTTGTGTGCATAGTGCAGACTGCAGATGTCTCTCATCTTCTCAGGGATTCAGGTGGCTCACTTTGCAGCAAATCTGAGCCAGGCTGGGCCCCTCCCTTTGGAATCAGGACAGCTGTCCCAGTCATTTTTCTAGGAGTTTCTAAAAAACTTGATTCTATCCACAGCTGGCATTGTGATTTAAATACAAACTGTATCCCATAGCCTCACACATTTGAACACCTGGTCCCTGTTTGGGAAGGCTGTTAGGAGGCAGACACTTGATGAAGGAAGTGGGTTACTGAGAGTGGGCCTTGAGCTTTGTTTTGTTTTGTTTTTGTAGACAGGATTTCTTTGTGCAACAGTCCTGGCTGTCTTGGAACTCACTCTGTAGGCCAGGCTGGCCTCGAACTCAAGAGATCCACCTGCCTCTGCCTCCTGAGTGTTGGGATTAAAGACGTGTACCACCACCACCACCCCCGCCCGCAGGCCTTGAAGTTTTAAAGAACAGCAGCACTTCCCTGCACCCTGAGTGCAGACGCACTTTGATCAGTTAGCCTCTTGTCCCTGCCACCAGGTCTTCCCTGCCTTGATGGACTATGTCCTTCTGCAACTGTGAGACAAAAGGAACCCTTCCTTGTTGTGGAGTAATATTTTTGTACACTGTGAAGCTCTGTCACTGGGATTGGTTTAATAAAAAGCTGAGTGGCCAATAGCTAGGCAGGATTTTTGGGGCAGAGAGGATGCTGGGAAGAAGGGTGGAGACACAGAGAGACACCAGCCAGATGGAGAGGAAGCAGGATGGGGAGTACAGAGTAAAGATAACCAGGCCACTTAAAAGAACACAGATTAAAAGATATGGGTTAATTTAAGTTATAAGAACTAGTTAGGAACAAGCCTAAGCTAGGGCTGAGCTTTGGTAATTAATAAGAAGTCTCCTACACAGAGAAACCCTGTCTCGAAAAACCAAAAAAAAAAAAAAAAAGAAAAAAGAAGTCTCCATATGGTTATTTGGGAGCTGGCTGGTGGGTCAGAAAAGATCCAACTACACTTCCTCCTTAGGTTGCTTTCTCAGGGTATTTTATCAGGAGAGCAGCTAAGGCAGTGAGACTAGATCTAACGTCTGTCTGCGGTGGCAGCATGAGCTAAAAAGCCATGTCACTAAATGTGTGTTTCTCTGTGTTTTTGTTTCCTTATCATGAGACAGGTATAAGAGGGTCTTACCTCACAAAGTTGCTATGAGCACTGACAGAGCTAATTCTCACAGCATGGAAATCAGTGTGGGGTTGGGGGCTGGGGCTGGTAATTCTTACTTATACTACTAACTTAGCCTAGTCATGCTTTATGCCAGTGTTCCCACCTGGTGTCACCCGTGGCTAGATGTTCTTTTCACTATTGTGAATTTAGTATTATTTTTTAAGCTGACTCATTTCCTATTTACTTAGGATTTTATTTTTAAAGAAATTGTACCTCAGACATGGGAAAGTAGAATTGTGTCATAACTGAGAGGCAAACGTAAAAATAAACACAGTGAAAACAAATGACACCTGTTGTTGGCCCAAGGTGTCAATCACCAGCTTCCTGTATTATGCAAGTAGGAGGTGGAGGGCCTAAAGCTGGGACATCCTCCAGAGAGAGATGGGCATGTCTAACCTGCAGCCCACAGGCCACATGTGCTCCAAAATAGTTATGACTGTGGACCAACACCTCGTAGATGACAATGTCATACTGCAATGTCAGATGGTTGGACACCCTATACTAGAAGCAGTGGAAGCACTATGGGGGAAGGGTTCTCCCCAAAGCTCTTCCATTTGAACTCCAGTTACTGTCTTCTAAACTTCCCCCTCCCCGGAACAGCATGGCCCAAGCTGCATGGCCTCATAGAAGCTTCCACTAATAGAGACATTATCCTTGCCGGGCAACAACATGGCCACCACAGGCCCAGCTAGTAAGCACCTGAAACATGACTAGTGTGACCAAGGAACAGGTGTTCAATTTATTTGGTTTTAACTAATTTCAATCTAAACAAGCATGTGTGGCTAGTGGCTGTGGTAGGAGACAGGACAGTTTACTGAGAAAGCTGCACAGGGCTCTTCACAGGCCTGGGGTCATTTGTGGTTGTGCCCTCAGCTGCCTGCAAAGGAGATCCTTTGAAAGCAGACAGTAAGTTACCACAGGATACAGCAGATTCTGTCCTAGCCTTCCTCACTCTGAAGCCCCATGTGGAGGTTTCCTTTTAGCTCTTTGTGAGGAATTAACAGCTTTTCTTGTTGTTAGCAATGGAATTACTCAAAATAGCCAACTGCATTTCCATTTCACAATGGCTGCCAGGAAGCCCTTGGGAAGCTCAAATCACTGGGAAAGACTATGTTAGACCTCAGAATAAATACAGTCTCTCCTCTTTCCTTTAAAACCCTTTGAGTTTACATTTCATTCAACCCTGGTATAGTTTTCTCTTCTCTTTTATCATTCTTTTATATATGCTTCTCTAGAAATTGCCTCAATTTTAAATAACATGCATTTTTTAAAAAATCTTATAAATAATGCCTGGTGGTTCCATTATTTAAATAAGTCACTTCTATCCATTATCAGTGACATGGAAAACACTGCACAAAGCTTCCTAAAATGTTTCCAAATACCAACCAGAAGCACTGCCAGACAAGGGCTAATGCATATGCTATACATGGGACTGAAAACATAAACATCGAAATCCCCACAAATCTCGTTGCAAAGCCCTCTTCAGAGCACACAGATCCTGTAGAACTGGACCCTGAGGCACTCATGCACGAAGGGCTTGGACATTCCTGAGGCACTGAGGGAAGACATTTGCAGTCTTTGCTTGTTTGCAGAAAAAGGGCCCTTTCTTTTGCAATGTGTAACCTGACTGGGCGTGACGACACACCTGTAATCCACACGCTTGCAAGTTTAAGGCCAGCCTAGGCTGTATACCAAGATCCTGTCTCAAAACAACAACAAAAGCATAGTCTGATTTTCATCATGGTCATCTTCCTACTCTCAGACATGTGGCTGAGTAAGATCACTGCCATCCCTGGTTTCCAGCAATGGTTACAGGAGTCAAGCTGAGCAAGCCATGAAAATCAAAATCCTACCCCTAACACCAAGATTCAGCCATAGACCTGAGACCCAAGATGAACTATGAGCCATAGCCCAGGTCTTGGCTGAAGCCGGACAGGCAGACCGGGTGTGTGGTGCTGCTGGGGGACAGTTGGTAAAGTCACAGACAGCTGGCAAGTCACAGAGCAACAAGAACACAAGGCAAGGCAGGAAGCTCCATGCACATCCTCCCACCTGACCAAAGGCCACACCCCACTTCACCAGGGCAGATGCTACAGATATACAAATGGTGCCAACATGCAAAGCACATGGCACAAACATGATGTCAGCATGAAACCCAGGCACTTACCTGATACACGTGGAACGCGTTGGCTGCTTTGCCTCGGAGAAACACGGACGGGATCCAGACATTGATTAGTGCTCGATTTGATCTGACCAGAATAAAGAGATGAGAGTGGCCATTTTTACTTACAAAAAAACCCAAAGCAGGCCAAGATACTATTTTCTCCTCTAAAAGGAATTTCAAACAAGTCACATATACAACAGACATCATACTTACAATGAGATAAGAACATGTTTAATACTTATCACTAGACCTCAGAAGATTATCTCTAAGGAACTTGGTATAAAGGATGGAGATATAGAGAGACAGATATATATAGAGATATAGATATATACACACATATATATGTGTGTATCATTTAAATATATGTATATATGGTATATATATATCATATATATTTTAAATGTACATATGCAATATATACTCTGGAATGAGAAAGAGCTTGGTCTTGAGTTCTAACTAGCTAAGTGACCTTGGTAGGATGCATCTAAAGCTCAGTCACACATCTGATAGAGGAACAGTAATAGGGAGCAGAGGGATATCATACACAGGAACACCCAGTCTCTACAGCACCCCATGGAGCCACCTGCCTTCCACTACCCTGATTTCTGACTGTGATCTCCATTTTCACACAAGAGTTCAGGAAAGCAATACCTATGGTTTGGGGGTGATAGCTGCTTGGGCTTGGGGGAGAAAAGGACAATGGAAAATAACAAATTAGAGAAACTCAGATGCCAGGTACAAACACCCTCTTGTGACTCCTCTGAACACTGTGTATAGTGCAGTGGACACACCTGGAAGAGGGAATCTAACCAAGGAATGGCTTCCATCCGACGAGCCTATGAGCATGTCTATGGGGCACGTTCTTAATTGCTAACTGGAGTAAGAGGCCCAGGCTCCCTTAGCAGTGCCATCCCTGGGTGGCTAGGCCTGGGTTGTGTAAGGAAGGTAGTAAGTGAGGGAGAGGAAGCAAGCTAATAAGCAGCGCTCCTCTGTGGTCTCTGCTGCAAGCTGCTGCCTTGACTTCCCTGGATGATAGACAGTAACACACAAGTCTAAGAAGCCCTTTCCTCCCCATGTTGCTTTTGGTCATGGTGCTTATCACAGCACAGTTTGTCTAACTAAGACAAGCAAGATTTAAGCTAAACTACATGGAGCATGGGTCAATGATAAAGCACTTGCCCAACACAAGCCAGTGCCTGGGTTCCATTTGTAGCACCTAGAAAAGGAAACTTCAAGTACAAAACCATTCCCTGAGGACATCACCTGCAGAGCCCCATGCTTTTCCTCACACTGACTCACTCAATCCCCATGAGAACTATTTAACATATTTGAGGGTATTTTGGTTATATGAAAGTTCTGCCTTATAGGGTGACTTGAGGTACACAATGCACATCCCACCCCAGCTCTACCAACCTGAAAAGGGGGCTATGGCTGAGATCTTCAGGAGCGTCCTGACAGCTGTCTAGGCATGGTGCCCTTTCTGGAAGACCCTGTCTTGCCTCCACCCAGAGCTATCCAGGAAGAGGGGCTCATCCTGGGCATTCCTGCTCAGAACTCAGCACCTGCTTGGGCTTGTAGCATAATCCAAGATGCCAGTGGTTTGCTGAAGACTCCATGACCTTCATGATCTCACAATCTCCAAAGAGAAAAGCAATCTATCCTAACAAAGAAAATAACCCTCAGGCAAGCAGCCCTGTGACCCTGGCACTTCTAAGCTCTGGCTCAAGGTGGTGACCTCATTCCAGGGGACAATAAGCCATGAATGATCACGTGTTCAAAGATCAAAGTACAATCAACAATCTGGAGCCACCAAATTGGTCTGTGCATCCAATGGCACTCCACCGGCAAAGGTCCCAAAGCTGTGCCTGTACCTAGAGCACCCCAGGACATTTCTGTCACCTAGACAGGGGTACAGAAGAGCAATGCCTTGGTTCCATTCCTTTTCCCAACTGCTAAGGCCAGATGACCCTGCAGGGCCAAAGCAGGTGACCCCAGACTGGGTCACACGTTCTTGTTCTAAGCCATTTACTACATTGTGTTGGAAGTGACAGTCCATGTGACTCCCTCCTGCACATTAGCTCCTTTGGTCCTCTCGCCTCCTCCTATTTATCACTCATCTGTTCATGAACCAAGTATCTAGTTAGAACCTACTATGTGACAGACACAACGCTAAGTATGAGAGATGGAGGAACAGAGAAAACAGATGCAGCCCCTATTTCATGGATTATTCTGTTCACCATGAAAGGGGAACAAATTACATACATTATTCTGCCATGACCAAAGAAAACAGTGACTTCAGTTTTAAAATTTTAATGAGGCATGGTCTAATCTGCAGAATACCTTATGTGTATTCTATCTTGGATCTATAGGATCCACATGGTCTCTGTTTGTGATCCTAAGAGGAGGTCCAAGGGAAGGAAACTATGGGGCCACAGTCTTTCCCTAATTCTCTTTGCTTCCAGGGACCATGAGGTAGGCAGCTTCCTGCCAGCCATGACATGCTGTCTCAACACGGGCCCAAGAACTATGTCTGCCTTAGCATTGATTGAAACCTATAAAACAAAACAACTCTTTAATTCTATAAGCTGATTACCTTAGTTACTTTGTATAGTAAAACGCTAACAAAGTGTGGATTCTATTTGTAGCTGTATCTTTATCTATGTTATGCTTAATTGCTTTATAGTGTTGTTCGAGTTCAGTTACTTACTGATCTTCTTTCTGGTAATGGAGTGTATAGTCTCCAACTGTTATCATAGAACTGGTTTTGTTTTAGTCTGTCTTTATACCATGTGTTTTAAGGCCCCATTGTTGGGGATATACACTGGAGCGTCAAAGTCATCTTCAACTTAGATAATTTTTCTCCCCATCCTTGCTTTCTTATCTATCACATCCACCTCATGGAAGTCCCCAAGACAGATGGGGCTTTCAATGTCCTGTGCCGTCCACAGTCTCACGCCAGTTGCTAACATATTCTGAAAAGCTGGTTCCAGGACTTTCACTCTATGAAAAGGGGACACTAAGGCTCAGTGAGGTGACATGGCTTATCTGAGGTCACAATGTTGTAAGTCCAGTACCTAAGATTTCAACACAGGTCTCCTGGTTCTAGACAAAATGTTCTTCCCAATGTCCTGCCTCCCCCATGCTCTAAAAGTAGCCTTTCTGAATGACCCTTCTCATAGGGAGGCAGGACCTTTGTTGTCGTTGAGACAAAGGCTCACTGTGTATGTGGCTGGTCTTGAATTCCTGGGTCTAAAGCTAAAGAGCCTGGACCTTCATCCACTGCCCACAACCACAAGAGAAAAAGGAGGCTCTCTCTGGCCCTGAGCCCCATGTTCTTGGGAGTTTGAGGGGACTGTGGATTCCCCCAAACAGAAAGTGTCTGAAGAACACCTGCCCCCTCAGAGGTTAACAGCAGAGCCCTCAGACAGAGTCTGAACCAGTCAATCCAAAGCAATGCCACTGCTATGGGTAGGCCAGACAGCAGCATGAGGAAGGAACATCGGGCAGCAGCCAGGTGAAGAATAGAGTGTGGGCCCTGTGCAAAAGGACCCTCAGCCCTGTTTAGCTGACTGTGGCCTTGCAGGAGTGACAGGTTAAAACTCTATGGGACACCTTCCCAATTTTAAATGTCAAGTGAAAACCAAAATGACTTTGAATGTCCAGGGGAGAATAAGCACATTAGATGGTCTGGAGCTCAGCAAACTTCCCCAGCTCTACAACCAAACAGGCTCTGAGCTTTTCTACCATTCCCTTCAGGACACAGCTAGCAACAGGGTTCACTCTCTAAGGGCCCCTCAAGAGCACATGCATGAACTTACATTTCAAAATCGGACAAGCTCTGGTCTTCAGATGTTTGGCTCAAATCTCCAGGCACCTGCAGTTAAGAAAAGGAAGGCAGGGCAGAAAGCACAAGTTACCACAGTTTGCACACTCAGGGAAAACTTGTCTCTCCTGTCTCCAAACACTTCCTCTCGGAATGAGGGGAAAGCGGCTACTGGAAAACAAGAAGACTTCATGGAGAGCTGGCTAGGGATGATGTTGCAGTCATAAAAACATGCTGCCATGCGCGATCTCAATTATCTTTACAGAAAAAGCACTGTTAATCCTATTGAGATAATCACAGGCATAAAAAAGCATGTAATTTTGGAGCCATATAGGACTAATTAGGATTGGAGACACAAGATATCATCTGTGCAGTAAAAACAAAACAAAGAAAAAAAAACTACTGTCACCATGAGTATCACAAATGTTACGCCCAGTTTGTGAGCACAAAAGGCCACTAAAATGGCTGTCCTGTTGTCCCATAATGTAAGTGCAACTACAGGCGGAAAGAATATGGATGTTCCTGGCTGAAAGAGCTATTTGAAACCACAATTGGTGACAGAACCAAACAGTATCACAATGACCCCTACCAATGCTGCTTGGGGGCCTAACCACATGCCACAAAGCCAAGTAAGATGACCAGGAGGCACCAACAGCATGTGACCTCCAGTGACCCCCCCCAGCCCCAACCCTGGCTTGAGATGGGAATCAATCCTCAGGGCTGGCACAAAGACTTACAATAGCTATGCTCTGACCACTCAATCCCCGTACCAGCCAGGGGATGGACTTCCTCTTGCCATCTGATTGAAGTTGACTAGGATTTTAGGAATGTAGACAAAGAAAGGGAAAACAGCTGGAACAGAGAAGAGTATGAGGAAGCAAGGGGAAACTGTCAACAATATTCTTCAATTTCCATGACAACTGAGAGGCAGGTGCTGTTTCCCTCTACTAACAAGTGAAATCAAGACTTGGAGTTTCCATCTGGGAAGCAGGCACAAGCCAGGTCTGTGTAGTTCAGTCTTCTGCGATGAAAATGAAGAAACCAGCTAAGACGAAAGAAGTCTTGAGGGTCTCATGTAAGGAGAGCTGGAAGAGACTAGAAGGTTGAAGAAGGCAGCTGTGGAGGCAGGCACATGGCGGGTGGAGCCTGACCTAAGTGGCTTAGTACCAACTTAGTGTCTCCCTTCTTTTTGGCTCCACAGCCATGAGCAAACTATGAGACACTGTGTTGGGTAGATTCAGAATCATCTAGAAGGCTGGTAGGGCATACCAGTCTGTTTGTGAGGACTTTTCTGAAGGCAATTAACCAAGAGAGTTCTGTGTTCAAAAGACTCAGGAAGCAGACGCAGAATGGATGGCACCAGTCTTCAGGCCCTGCCCCAAAGTTATGGAAGGACATAGACCTTCTGACCAGCTGAGCTGCCAGAGAACTCTGAGGGAGCTCCAGGGATGTGACTCCTGTGAGCCATCACCCAGCCAGGGTGGACTTCTTAGTCAGCTGCCTTTGAGTCACCGATGCCCCTGTAAGTAGCCCAATAAATTCACTAGATCACCAAGACGGGTGGAATCAGTCCCCATCTGGGGTGAACAGACATCTGTTCATATCTTCCCAAGTCAAGTCACACAACAAAGAGGAAGGCCCACCTGCAATGGAGACAGAACCACCCCTGCAACTGGAAGTCCCGCGGAACAGGAGGAAAGGAGAAAGCCAGCCAGTGCCAACATCCTTCTCACCAGGGTGGACTGAAGCCCTGCAACATGTGCCAAATAAACCGTCCTTCCCTTGGGTTGTTTACATCAGGGATGTGGTCACAGTGATGGTAAAGCAGCTAATACATGTGCTGCCCTCAACTTCACAACAGGTTAACAGTGGTAACACTGACACTCCCAGGATTGTTCTGAGGATAAAATGTGCCCCTGTCTGTGGAAGACACGGAATAGGAAGACCACAGTCACTGGCTGCATGCTCAGATGTAGCATGGTAACCAGTGAGAAGTAAGAGTTGCACAATGTTATCCTTGATGACTCATGAAGAATCTGCCCAGCCACACTGAGAGTACCTTTCAGCCCATGCATAATAGCCTGGAGGGAGAGTGACCAGGCTCAGCTTTTGTGGTGTCTGCAACTAGAGAATTAAACTGGGCCCTGGCCACACAGCTTCTCTATGAAAGTACTGCTGAGACTCCTGCAGACCCAACACGCAGCCATCTGCCTTGTCACTGGACAGACTCCACCCACCTCACTGGTCCAAGGGCTTGTGGGACTGGGCTTTGGTGTCACACTGCTGCTTTTATGGCTATCACTTTCTTGTGGGTGGCTGGAAAGAGTTGATATAACATATTCAGAAGGCAGGAGGCTGCAGGTACCAAGATCCATAAAAACATTTCATCCTTTGAGAGGGAACCTTTTGCCAAAGTTGACCTAGAAGTAGCAGCCCCATGTACCAATTAAAATGTCTATAAGAGATCATACCTCAGGCAGCAGACATAGTTCAGTGGTAGAACATTTGCCAGCATGGACAAGGCCCTGGATTCCATACCCAGCATAAACTAAAACCAAATCTCAGGTTTTCTTAAAATGTGTACAAACTGCTCTTTTTTGTGGTGCCTCCTAGGTGGTCGGCTATGCCAAGATGAAGCTGAATATCTCCTTTCCTGCCATCGGCTGTCAGAAACTCATTGAAGTGGACGATGAGTGCAAGCTTCGCATGTTCTACAAGAAGCACATGGCCACAGAAGTGGCTGCTGATGCTCTGGGTGAAGAGTGGAAGGGTTATGTGGTCCAAATCAGTGGTGGGAATGACAAACAAGGTTTTCCCATGAAGCAAGGCGTGTTGACCCACGGCAGAGTGTGCCTGCTGTTGAGTAAGGGGCATTCTTGTTATAGACCAAGGAGAACTGGAGAGAAGTGCAAGTCTGTTCGAGGATGCACCGTGGATGCCAATCTCAGTGTTCTCAACTAGGTTATTGTAAAGAAAGGAGAGAAGGATATTCCTGAACTGACAGATACTACTGTGCCTCGTCGGTTGGGACCTAAAAGAGCTAGCAGAATCCAAAAGCTTTTTAATCTCTCTAAAGAAGATGATGTCCGCCAATACGTGGTCAGAAAGCCGTTAAAGAAGGTAAGAAGCCCAGGACCAAAGCACCCAAGATTCTGCGTCTTGTTACTCCACGTGTCCTGCAACACAAAATGCTGGCAGATTGTTCTGAAGAAACAATGAACAAAGAAGAACAAGGAGGAGGCTGCAGAATATGCTAAACTTTTGGCCAAGAGAATGAAGGAAGCCAAAGAAAAGCACCAGGAACAGATCGCCAAGAGACATAGGCTGTCCTCCTGAGAGCTTCTACTTCTAAGTCTGAGTCCAGTCAAAAATAAGTCTCTAAGGGTAACAAATAAATGATCATACCTTAAAAAAATGTGTACAAACTATTCAACTATTTTAACAATGTTAACTAAAGAAGAATGAAGAGATTAGGACATGGCCATGCAAAGAGGCCTGTTAAAACAAGTTTTAAAGAGAAAGAGAGGGAGCATTATCCTGGATAATACACAAAAAGCAGTTTACAGTCGTTACCACTGACAACACTGGAGCGCGAGATTGAGGGGAGAACCTCGATCTTCATCACCCATTTTTCTGTAAGGTGATCTATCTTCTAAGGTGCTCTGAAAACTATAGGTGCTTCTGAAGAATGAGTCGACTTTCTCTCCATTAAGAAAAGATCTACAAGACAGATCTGTAAATGAAGAAAACCCTGGTGCAGATGCAGGCCTAACACAATTAGGGCACCAGCATAGAGAGGGGAGGCCTACCTATTATTACCTGTGCCTGCCTTTGCATCAGAAACCTGCAGGTGGGAAACGCAAGCCATTGATGGCAGGCATCAATGTGGGTGCTGGGGTGGAACTTAGGCCACTGGCTGTTCATCACCATACCCATTCTTTCCTTTCTTTCTTTTATCCCTTTCCTTCCTTCCTTCCTTCCTTCCTTCCTTCCTTCCTTCCTCCTCTCCCCTCCCCTCCCCTTCCCTTCCCTTCCCTCCCTCTCTCCCTTCCTTTCCTTCTTTCTTTCTTTCGAGACAGGTTCTTATGTAGCCCAGGCTGACCTTGAGCTCTCTATATAACTGAGGGTGACCATGAACTTTTGATCCTCCTGTCTCCATTTGCCCAATGCTGGGATTACAGGCATGCACCACTCCTGGTTTATGTAGTTCTGGCACTAGAACCTAGGCCTTAGTGCATGCTCAGCAAGCACTCTACCAATGGAGCTACATCTCCAGCCCCATGGTGAACACTCTTACATGTATGCAGTTTGAAATAAATACTACCAGTTAAAACCTTAAATAAAAGTGTGGTAGCTAGCCTGTCTGATTAGGGGTTCTACTGCTGTGAAGAGACACCATGACCATGGTAAACATGGTCTTATAAGGAAAACATTTAACTGAGGTGGCGGCTTACAGTTTCAGAGTTTCAATCCATTATCATCATGGCGGGCAGCATGGTGGCATGCAGGGAAACACAGTGCTGGCTACATCTTGATCAGAAGACAACAGGAAATGGTCTGAGATACTGGGTGGTATCCTGAGCATAGGAAACTTCAAAGCCCGCCCCCACAGTGACACACTTCCTCTAACAAGGCCATACCACTCCAACAAAGCCACACCTCCTAATTAGTGCCACTTCCTATGAGATTATGGGGGCCAATTACATTCAAACTACTACATGCCCAAAGTGTACTTTTGATAAAAACTTGATAGCATACATAAAAACAGTGAGAGAATGCGCATGGCCAGTGTGCTCTCTATGTGTAACAGTGCCTGTGTGTCATTACAGTTAGAACAACAGAATACAACTACAAGATGACAGCAAAGTCAGATGGTCTGAATGAACTATTTGGAACTTTTCTGCACTGTTCTATACTGACATTTCAACTGATACACATGTAGAGCTCTGTGTAACATATTATTAAAGTAGATATTCTTTCTCCATTTTCTTCTGGGCCCCTTGCAGCTAAGCAAGCTGCAGAAAGTCAGATGGGAAAGATTTTGCCTTTAG